TACAATATTATTAAAAAAAATAACAAAAATAAAGATACTGCAACGAAGTATGCACAGGCTATGCCTATGATAGGTGCACAGCGCCTGCTCTAGGTACACGCAGAATCTGGAGAAAGCACATGCAGCGTCTGGAGAAGGTACACGCAGCGCTTGGAGTAGGCACACGCAACGCCCGGAGCAGATACACGCAGCACCCGGAGTAGACACGCAGCGTCTGGAGTAGGTACACGTGGCGCTTGAAGTAGGCAAACACAACGTCCGGAGTAGACACACACAGCGTCCGGAGTAGACACGCAGCGTCTGGAGTAGGAACACGCAGCGCTTGAGACAAGCACGCTCAGCGGCTGAAGATAGCGCGGGCACTAATAGGTGGAGGCGTAGGCGTGGCTAGGCGACGACTTCAGGAGAAGGCTTGCAAGATCCCGAGGCAGTGCGGATAAAGCCTTTCAGAGGTGCTTCTCGTATCAAAGCTGAAGTGAGGACCTCTATCGGCCGATTCTTCGGCTTTTTATCTTTTTGACGGATCTGGGATAAGAACGAGAAAATATTTGAAATTATTTAAATTAAAAGCAAATTTTTGTAAATGGCCAAGAAGAAAAGAGTATTTTTTGAAGTAAAAACATCAGGCCGGTAACAATATTTGAATAAAAATTGCCACGACAACCAGATAAACAACGATGTCAAAACATGTCAAATTTTGGTTTTAAGCTCGTAATACAGAAACGGCAAGATTTAAGTGAAAAATGAGATATTATTTATATAGGAAAAAAGGTAGCGCAAGAGCGCGCACGAAACCCGAAATTGTAGAGTTACGGAGAACTAAATAAAAAAGATCGAAAAAGGTAGACTCCATTGACACCGATTTAAAAAGTGCTGATAACGTGAAAATACGAAGTGAAAATGATTTGTTATTGTGTTCTTATGAATTAAAAATATTACAGGATCTTATGGAAATAAAGGTGATGCAAAATATCCAGTTTTGAGGTGAATGTAGAAAATCAAAAACAGAATGGAAAAATAAAAATAAAATAGTGTAAAATGATATGTAAGTATGTATGTAAGCATAACACTACATTTTCCCCCCGACCCTGGAAAATTTTTGACTCAGCAAAAATTTTGAGATGTACATTCCAAAATAAACCATAAAAACACAGCTTTGCAGTAACAGACATCACCAGGCAATATCAGATATACTATCTCTTACATTCATCATCTGCATTCAGGTAAGGGTGGAGTTCACATTCAATGACTACCACTCTAAAAGTGTGTTTTCGAAAGGACATTCAGGCTTATTTAAGGAGTTGTCATCCGCTCCTGCGTGGAAAAAAAACATTTTGAAAGGACATCCAGGCTTATTTAAGGAGTTGTCATCCGCTCCTGAGTGAAGATAAAGTTAAAGAAATTAATCTTAAGCAAGCTTTAGCCGCTATGACTTAAGTAAAGATTAAGAACGGCCAGAGCGGTAGGGCTCAAAGCCAGAGATGAGCAACATCACTAAAAGAACATTCAGGCTTATTTAATGAGTTGTCATCCGCTCCTGAGTGAAGATAAAGATAAAGAAATTAATCAGGTAATAATTATACATATATACAAACATATATACAAATATACAAACATATATACAAATGTAGTGTCATGCAAAACAGTATTAGCTGGTTCCTCACATCTAATCTTCACTTCGTATTCGAGTTCAGCCTTGTTAAGGAATTCGTACTTAATAACCCATTTCATTGTTATAATTAAGTGCAAAGTTAATTTTAGAAAATAAAAATTTAATTAAAAATTGTACCTCTTTAAGTTATCTAGAATAAAAATATTAAAGTGATGAATGTAAGTGAAGTGTTATATGTAGGTCTAAATATAATCAAGATAAGTTGAAAAACTAGACGAAGTTTTGTTTTAGAATTTGGAAGATAGTACCTCTTTTAGTTCTCTAGAATAAAAATATTAAGGTGATGAATGTAAGTGTTATATGTAGGTCTAAATATAATCCAGATAAGTTGAAAAACTAGATGAAGTTTTGTTTTGGAATTTGGAAGATATGATAAGGATGAGTAAATAAAGAGTTAAGAACGAAAGAGAAAGCAATTCAATCAAAAGGAAATGGATAAGGCGTAGCTAAGGTGAAGAAAAGAAGAACTTTTACGTCGGGCGCCAAATTGTCGTGAAGCGACAATTAAAAAACTAAATAACCTAACCTAACTACAACAAAACAACCAAAAAATAAAATAAATTATTTAAAAATTTGAAAAGATTTACAGTTTCTTTTATAAAAAAAAGGTATGAAGGTGATGATGGGCTGTAATGATGATAGTGATTTACAATATTATTAAAAAAAATAACAAAAATAAAGATACTGCAACGAAGTATGCACAGGCTATGCCTATGATAGGTGCACAGCGCCTGCTCTAGGTACACGCAGAATCTGGAGAAAGCACATGCAGCGTCTGGAGAAGGTACACGCAGCGCTTGGAGTAGGCACACGCAACGCCCGGAGCAGATACACGCAGCACCCGGAGTAGACACGCAGCGTCTGGAGTAGGTACACGTGGCGCTTGAAGTAGGCAAACACAACGTCCGGAGTAGACACACACAGCGTCCGGAGTAGACACGCAGCGTCTGGAGTAGGAACACGCAGCGCTTGAGACAAGCACGCTCAGCGGCTGAAGATAGCGCGGGCACTAATAGGTGGAGGCGTAGGCGTGGCTAGGCGACGACTTCAGGAGAAGGCTTGCAAGATCCCGAGGCAGTGCGGATAAAGCCTTTCAGAGGTGCTTCTCGTATCAAAGCTGAAGTGAGGACCTCTATCGGCCGATTCTTCGGCTTTTATACTTTTTGACGGATCTGGGATAAGAACGAGAAAATATTTGAAATTATTTAAATTAAAAGCAAATTTTTGTAAATGGCCAAGAAGAAAAGAGTATTTTTGAAGTAAAAACATCAGGCCGGTAACAATATTTGAATAAAAATTGCCACGACAACCAGATAAACAACGATGTCAAAACATGTCAAATTTTGGTTTTAAGCTCGTAATACAGAAACGGCAAGATTTAAGTGAAAAATGAGATATTATTTATATAGGAAAAAAAGGTAGCGCAAGAGCGCGCACGAAACCCGAAATTGTAGAGTTACGGAGAACTAAATAAAAGATCGAAAAAGGTAGACTCCATTGACACCGATTTAAAAAGTGCTGATAACGTGAAAATACGAAGTGAAAATGATTTGTTATTGTGTTCTTATGAATTAAAAATATTACAGGATCTTATGGAAATAAAGGTGATGCAAAATATCCAGTTTTGAGGTGAATGTAGAAAATCAAAAACAGAATGGAAAAATAAAAATAAAATAGTGTAAAATGATATGTAAGTATGTATGTAAGCATAACACTACAACTCATCGTTGAGTATCTGGATTTGTCAAAACGTTTATTTAGGAATCATCCATTACCACAACAGCTTAACATAACTGCCCCAAAGATAGTCTTATAGGAGGGATATTCGCCATAGTTGTTACGCTTGGCAACTCAATAAAAAATAAAATGAGTTTGCCATTCATTTTATTTTTTATTATGAGTTGTTAGAAAAATGCTGTTAGCCCATTGCTTGTTACATTTCCCTGGGTCGCCTCTTACGATACCTGCTCACCTACGGTATGATACGGGCAGTGGATTCTACTATGCCGTCACTACATGACAAATTATAACTTTGTCGTGTAGTGACGGCCAAAATGTTGCCAAATGATAATATGATACCTTAACAGTTCTTAATAAAATCATTTGCAACTTTATACTTATATAATTTTAAACTATTCTGCTTGACTTGCTGTTCAAGTAATAAGTAGGTGTATGTACATGTGTATGTTCTAATGGAAATTGTGTCAAGCTACAAGCAGTTTGTAGATTCGATTAAAGTAGGTATAGTTTATAGGCTGAGATTAGAAGTAGTTTAGATACTTCCTCCATTTTAAGTACTTTGGCAAGCGTTCTCATTTCAAATATGTAGATAGATGATGTGGTTTAGATGTCTCGCGTGATTTTGTAAACGATTCTTTACCGGTTTATTCAAGGTGATATTAACTACTTTGGAAACTTTGCCTCGATTGGAAACTTTGCCTCTATTTGATGAGTCAACCTCATTCAACCGGACATTTTAAAGTTATAGGTACCGATTAGCCTTGTTGCATAATCAAATTATACGGAATTTAAATATCATAAGCTTAAAATAAAGTTAACATAACATAATGATTTTTTAAATTTACGCGAACACTACACATGGAATAAAACCACTTATAAGGATTTTATCGCAAATAACTTATTTTTAAATCTCGACTTTTCGTGTATAAAATACTGTAAGCTCGTCCTGCGTATATAGGATCAAAAATTAATATTCGAAAACTGAAGGCAGCCGGGCTAACTATAACATTGGGACGTCAAATATCTCAGTCTCCCCTGTGACCAAGGGTGCTGTAAAGCACCCGAAACGCCGTGAATAAAAAAATAAGTTAATTAAACGCGATAAAATCCGTATAAATTGTTTTATTTAACATAACATATTTAAGTAAATTTTAATATGCATCAAATGTTATTAAAACTAAAATAACAGAAAATTGGCTGTGAAAAATTACATTGGATTCGATTCAAATTAACATTACATTACATTAACATTTTAAAATAAGGTAATATTATGAACAGAACCGAATAGTTCAGCAACGTCAACACGCATTGGGGTAGCGCGGCGTGCATTTTCTTGCCTAAAATCCTCTCTGAAAATGAGGTCTGTGCTCAGCAGTGGGCATGAGATAACTAGCAGTAACTTTACTAACGGATTAGTAAGCTGAAGTGGCTGTAACAACTTCATAAAATTTCTGAAAGAAGCTGTGTCTCAGTATCAGAGACACGGATAACATCATCACAGTATAAACCGACACGAAAAGTAGCTAGTAGCGAGGTCCTTTGATCGTTAGGCCATGCGGCCTTGGCATATAATAGTGGTACCAACGGCCTAGGTAGACGGCGACAGCGGCGAGAAGCAGAAGTACCAGCAGAGCGGCGAGAGCGGCGCAGCAGCGCCGCGGCACGGCCGGCTGAGCTTGCGTCTCGTGAAGCGAATATCACTGCTCACCGACATGGTGGACTCGGGCGGTCGATGAGTGCGACATCGCCGCTGACCGCTGCGCGTCCATCCGTATCCAAACTGTAAAAAAATAATACCGGTTAACATGTATTTTGGACATGTGAGGATAAAGTAGGGATATAACCATACTCGCCGCTGAGATCTGGAAGGGTCGTGCTTTCGAATACCCGCTTTCCTTTGCCTTGTGACGTAATGGACACACGCAAGTGGTAATGTAGGCCGTGTGTGCATAAAGACGTTCCTTGTGTTCTGTTTTGCCTGATACTGGGGACAGTGGGTGTGTGCATAAGCGATCCCGTACCCTTGAGGGTACACTAGCCACTCATTCTTCCATATAAACGTAGTCTGGCGATTACTCCACTGGTTGATGGTGGACGTTCAAAATAAAAAATTATTTCTATTTGTATCAGCACTATCTAGCCCTGTATGGAAACAAAAAAGTAAAAAAAGAATATGTTTAAAGGTACTGATTTTAAAACATCTTTGGGCGGAAATAAATACCATAAGAAGACCGAAAATTGCAGAACAGTTACCATACAGGGATAGATCAGGTGTTCAAAAGTGCAAGTAATTTGTTTTGAACAGATACATTCAATAGATTTTTCATGATATTCAGATTCCCAAAGGTCCATTTATAAAATTTCGCGCGCTCGTTTTGTTGTAAATCATCATGCCTTTCGCTTTCGCACGTGATGTTGGCTGAGATAGCATGCATTTTAACCCCGCCCACCACTTAATTCGTGCCATCGACTAGGGACACCTTTCCCGTTCCCTTACCCATATGTAGTAAAGATGGAAAATCATTGAGTTTAGCCGGTGTCATTAACATGAAGAAACTGTGCTATGGTTCCTTCTTCTGGTTTAATGCCTCAAGATATTGTTAAAATTACCTATACCTACTCTTACTCGACTTTTATGATGACCACTACTCGCTCTACTCATATAAGTACTTGCCTGTTACGTAAACTAACTCGAATTTATTCATAAAATACATACGTAATTTCTTATAAAATTCGCAAAATGTATAATATATGCTAAGTACGTAGTCACTTTCACAATCTTAAAATTGAAGAACATGCTTCATCTGATTCGAGATTCAACGTGCAACGTAAATGATTGCAAACTATCAAAATCGTTAGTTTTGAAAGAGCAATAAATGGCAAATGTTCTGGCAATAAACTGCCTATGTTTTACAATCTTTAGTAGGTACCGCTCGTTATTATTGGGTTATTTTATTTAATGTACATTTATTGGGTGAAGGGAATATTATCATGAAATAAAGTAAGTAATCATGTTCTTTAATGGTAATGTTAAAGTGACCAAGGAGCTAACAGTTACAATTACTCGTAATTTACCTAAAGCAAATTATTGTACCGTATAGCTACTGTACGGTGTTCCTCACAATCTTTAATCATACTGGTTCCCTTAGCCTCTTTTTTTTATTTGCGGATGGAAAATCATCTAATGACGCCTTTCGCTCTGGGTGGAGCGTAAGGGAGTGTCAGACTTTTACTGACTAAAAACCACCCGTGTTCCTTCAGTGCCCTTACGTTCCGGAGCCGCGGTATCTCTTTCGAACAGCCCGCAGCCCCGGCAGGCGTCGGCCCTTGCGGGCCCCTTCACGCTGCTGACAGCTCTTTGAGGCGCGCGTGGAACAAAACGCGCCGTCGACACGGCCTGTCGTCGTTAGACGGACCCCTGACTCGCCTAGGTTCCTAATTAGGATAGAAGTAAGGAAAGTGTAATCGCATTTAGGAGTTTAGAATCAATCTCACCAATGTTGTCTCGTAACGAAGGAAGTGGATGTAAGCATGTGCTTTTCAACAAAAACCATCATAACTATTTAGGTAGCAAAGACTTAAGAAGCGAAAGCTTTAAAGTTTCATTGAAATATAATCAGACTGATAATTCATTATATTGTACAGTCTCTCAACATAATTAAATCCACTGCTAAACACCGGCCTCCCCAAAGGAATGACATAAAGCACTACCGTGCCTCAGTACCCTGAGCCACCTGCATCCATCGACTTCCTGTAGGTCGTTACTCCATCTCTTCGGAGCCACTCTTACACTTTCCTTACCTGTACGAGTCTGCCCCTGACAAACCCCATCGATTGTCGGTTCTTTATGCTATATGACTGGCCCATTGCCAACTTCAGCTTTCTGATCCGTTATTAAATCTTTATACAATACATTATAATCGTTGGTGCGTATTTTTCACGCCAAATAAATCATGAGATTATTTCTCATGATTTATATGGCGTGAAAAATATAAAACAAGAAAGTGACCGTATAAAATAATGCGACATATTTTTTATCAAATGTTTTCGAAAAAGTGGGATCGTTATTTGAATACAATGAAATTAATAAATACGTCGATCTTTTAAAACATTACCATGCTGAAATAAAGAGTTACAAAACAAATAGTTACAAAACAAAGAGTTATAAAATTTTGTGTGGTTTTTTATTATTTATGTTAAGTTTAATAATATAAAGAAGAAGAATAATATTAGAAATATCAAGGACTGATAATCGACAATATGTATACCTCTGTAATTAGCTTATTCATATTACATTTCATTCATTACATTGTTATAAGTACTTGATATTCGTACTCTATGGGATCGTGGTATCTACGGTTTTCAATCTTTACCTTATTGTTACAAATGTCAGATTGAAACTGCTTGCGTTGCAACATCAAAAGTCCAATTTCAAATCGACCGAATTACCGTGAAGCCAAAGTGAACGCTGATTCTTTGAGAATATTTTGTGATAAGCTATTTTTTTAAATGAACTTTTAATAGGCTTACTTTGTGACTTTAAAGTTTATGACCAATAAACATTCATTTCACCCTACAAAAATACGTAAATGTAATAAATGAAATGTACAAAGTACATGATATGGCACTTACTATGGTATGGTATGGAGGGTAGGTTGTTCTGTAAGAGCCAGGAGGATCAGGAGGGTAATCAAATTTGTAGGGAGAAAAAAATATATAAATGGTTTCTTAACTAAAAAACTGGTGGTAACAAAAACAAAAACAAAAAACTCTAAAAAGCTTGGCGCGCTCAGCAGAGCGGGACAGTATTTCATACCGGAATACCGCCTGCAACTGTACAAGGCGCAGGTGCGGCCTCACATGGAATACTGTCCCCATCTCTGGGCTGGGGCTCCCCAGTGCCAGCTCCATCCATTTGACCGCATCCAGCGCAGAGCGGCTCGAATCGTCGACGACCGAGTGCTTTGCGATCGGCTCGATTCACTGGCGCTGCGAAGAGATGTTGCATCTCTTTGTATTTTCTTTCGTATCTACCACGGGGAGTGCTCTGACAAATTTTTCTTGCCTATCCTTTAGTGTCAATCGCAAAATAAAATAATGGTTACCTTATCAGAAGATGCATGTTATCAATAATTATTTCACATTTCTGTGGTTTAGTTGTAGGAAGATTAATCAAGTACTCCTTTAAAAAAATGGTATTGGTTATTATGAAATCAAGAATATGTAGAAATTTAATAGAATTTTTATTAGTTGACATATCTTTTTACTAACTAGTAGATAGCGCCTGAAAACCTTACAAATAACGACTAGCGCGGAATTTTGCTCAAACACGCACCTTAATAATTCACACACGTAATAATTCCCATTTTTTATACCCAACTCTATAGAAAATATAGTCGCGGCAAACAGTGCCATCTGTTGTAATTAGATGTATCTATGTATCTACACTTACATCTAGTAGGCGTGAATCTAATTTCATCTATGGCGTTGTTCAAGGTTTTTAGCTCTATTCAGCGTCTTAATGCTTAAACCCACTAGCAGCACAGAATAAATAATAGTAGGTACTACAAGCAGGATGGAACCCTTTTAGATCTTGGTTAGTCTAACAGCGAACTTGCGGCCGGTGACTAGATTAACGTTACTTACTTATTTGTGTGCATTGCATTTATTCGTTATCATTAGAAATGTAGTGTACAGTAGGTCAATGTCGTCGCTCGTGATGACTGGGGTACACAAATAACCTACCTACGTGTTTATGTCTTCAACGATAAAATCATTCATCATATCTATTACGAAGACTGTTTTCATCGTTGTGCTAGGAAGAGAAATTAATTGTTTATTTGACAAATGACACAGAAATGTCTGTTTTTGTCGTTTTTGTAATGCAGTGTTGCGGCTGCGGATGTATGTGAAAGTGTTTCCGTGGTTCTACCGATGTGATAAAAAAAGACGAAACACCATAGGTTTTTAGTAATTTTAGTTTCATTTTCGGAAAAATGGGATCAAAGACTGCAGCAGTCTTACGTCAGGTGAACTGTTGGCAAGTTTATCAGTATAATAATATAAAAAGCTTATGAAAGAAACTGTAACTTTAACTATTAAATAAAATATGCAAATAAAACACACACACACACACACACACACAAATATGTATGGTCATATCAGGCAAGGAGTTCCAAAGACGTGTAGCCTGCACTGTGAAGGAGTTACTATAGAACTCGGTAAAATGATGTTAGAAATAAAAACCTATCACGAGATGAGGACAGATAGTGAAATTTACTCTTAACATAAGAAGGCAAAGATGTGTCGTTTAATATGGAAAATAGAACAAGCAATATTCTACAAATTGCGCCTATGCCGGATTGTAAGCCAGTTAATCTTAGATCGATATTGCGAAATATGGTTATACTTAGGAAAATAAATCTTATAGAGTTAGTTATTAAGAAGGCGTTCCAGCTTATTCAGAAGATCTTAGGACAGATTCGGGTAACACACTTCTGCTCAGATTAATTGCTGCTATGCAGTTACAGTTACAGGCTTATGAGCAGATTATGCAATTAGTGCAATACATATATGAATTGAAAGCGTCCCAAACTCAAAGTCTGTTCAATGAATAAATAGAATATGAATCTTCTAAAACATTGTCACCCTCTAAAACAATCAATTTGACTGTTTTTGTCACATCAAGAACAGCAGAAAGGATTACTTGCAGTAGAAGAAAATTAAAGAAAGACATAAAAATTAATAAATATGTTAGGAAAGTGCAAAAGTTAATTAAAACTAAAATTAATATAAAACATTATATAAATGTAATGAAAGGCAAAAATTCATTAATTAACTTAAATTATTATTTGAGGTGGAAGATATGAAAAACTGATCAGACTGAAATAGAGTGTCTCAGTTCAGAAGTTTTATTACTCCCTACAAATTATATCAAATAAATATGCATCGGCTCAGGTTGAGGTAAAAGAACACATATTGGCCGTGAATGATCATGTAAAGTATAAACAGTGCCATGACAAAGAATATAAACTTAAAAAGTAATTTAGATATTAAAAACATAAAGTTATTATGTATTGTGATGCATAGCATAGCATAATAGCATAAACACTCACGCCTGTCACCCAGAGGGGTAGGCAGCGACCACGGACTTCCATTTGACACGATCCTGACATACCTCTTTCGCCTACTTTACATCCATATATCTACGCATACATGCTCGTCGGCACGGTAATATTCCTAGATAATATTACCGTGTCATAATTTCAAATTAAAGCATGTATAGATAATATTTTTTTCAAATGTTAAGCTGTTCCATAAATGTATAATTCAAAAATTGAGTTCTGTTGAGCACTATGGACAATTAGTTTCGTTACCACACGCTTGTTGTGAAAAAGTTGTGTTTGTTCCAGTAAGTGCACGTCGCTTAGAAAGTTTAGAAGTAACATAGTAAAAAAACTTTCATCACTTACATACCAAAACAATCCTGATTTTTGTATGGAGCATTATTTAAGCTTATTTGCTTTGTTTCTTTAATACTTTTACTTCTAAAACATTCTCCTTGAACAATAGCAAGGCATTTAATGAATGAGCGACAGTAGAAGTCCATTAGAGCAGACAACGGTTATACGAACTTAAAAATGATATCGAATTTAAGGAATATATAAAAAAATATTTAAAAGACTGCGCTCCATATCCAAGTGTTTGTATTTGAGCAACAAATAAAGACGGCTTCCAATACAGTTAAAATGACATGGAGTGTAATTGATGATGAAACTGGTAAGGTCAACTCTCGCAATTCAAACTACCAGTTAAGTTTTTACAACAAATTAATTAAATTAGATCAGAACGTTGCAATAGTTTTTGAGAAATATTTTACTGATATTCCGATCTTAACAACTAAGTCACTGAATTCTTCTCCTGCCGTCGAGGAATCATTACTTAAACCAAACGTAAATGTGTGTACATAGAATTTTACATTTCCATGCCACCATGCTGGTTTTTTAAAAATCCTAACAAAAATTGTACAAAATAAATTCATTGCGAGCTGATTAGTTTTTGAAATCGATCGGTAAAGCCGTTTAAAAGTTATTCCAAAAGAACATTTTTTTTTAATTTTTATTTTCAAAATTTCTCAAAATCTACTCGTCCGAATCAGTTCATATTAGCACCAAATCTATTCCACATTGAGATCTTTAGAACGCCGCAAACCGCATCTTAATCGATCAAGACGTTCAAAAGTTAAATACATACATCCATACAGACTTCCACGTGAAACTCGTCGAAATAGCTTCCTGTGATCCCCAAACGTCGAGATCTGATGAAAACTCGATTTCGAAAATTTTGAAAATTTTCAATTTTCTTAGCGGGAAGTTAAAAATCAAACGCAAAATTCAATTTTGACCTTCACTGACGCATACCATCGGTGCACTTGTGTTTGAGATCGAAGGTCGAATAATAATATAATAAAGAAAGGCATTAATAACAAACAATTAATGCCTTGTTATTAGTTATCTTGGTACAAGGTGAACTTGATAAGTTAATTCTAAAGTTGCATTCGATTAATTAATGTTGTAATTATAATACAATTTTCTACACAAATAACGCATTTTTATGTATATCGGAGTTCAAATTTTCCGACTGTAAAAATGTATTCAAATTCTGAAAAAATTTAAAGGTCTCGCAAGTACGATGGATGACGGATTGGTTCCAGTTGAAGGTCCGTAATTTTGAAACACCCCCTCGGACAATGTGTTTGGCACTAGCGGCGGCACTCGGCGTCGACATATCGAATAGTGTGCAGTTTCGTAGTCACTTGGAAGGGAAGGCTAAATTGGCCTCTAAAAAACTTTGACGGGCTCAGCAGAGCGGGACAATATTTTATGCCGGCACATCACTTGCAACTTTACATAGCGCAAGTTTGACCTCACATGGAATACTGTTCTCATCTCTAGACCGTGGCACCCCAGCTCAGTCCATTTGACCGCATCCAGCGCAGAGCGGTTCTAATCGTCAACGACCGAGTTCTTTCTGATCGGCTCGATTCACTGGCGCTGCGTAGGGATCATCCTTTTTGCATCTCTTTGCATTTTCTATCGCATATACCACGGGATGTGCTCAGAAATTGTTCGGATTAATTCCAACGCACATCGCGTCAAAATTCACGATACCATCCACACCATCTGCATGCTTGGCGGTCCACCACTGCGCATTTTACAAGGAGTTTTTTTCCTTGTACAATTTTTATGTGGAATTCTTTACCACCGGCAATTTTGCCAGACCGATGCGAATTAAGGACCTTCAACAAAAGAGCTTACTCTTTTCTAAAAAG